ATATAAAATGTATGGTGAGAATGGCTGTGGTGGTGGTGGGTGAGCAGGACCTGGAGCAGCAGCAGCAGAGGAGGAGGAGAAGGATGAGGAGGAGTAAGAGGAGGAGGAGGGTCAGATCTCCTCTTGGATAAACAAGTCAAAAGCCTTCAAGACCCCAAATTTAGCAGTTTGGATGACCCCAAATTTAGCAGCACTAGGGTGTGCAGGTGCCATGGTGGTGATGTGATGATGTGCTGTGCATCCACAGTGTGGATGCAGCCACCAAACCCATGGAAACAACTCTCAAAAATCTGCAAACAGCCCCTTGGCACCCACAACACAGAGGGTAGGTGGAGGAGGAGATTTAATTCCCTGGGGAAGGGGGTGCTGTGTCCCAGCTCCAGCATCCCTGGGTGGGTAAGGCTGTTTCACTGCTGGAGCTACAACAACATCCCAGAAAGTTAATTCTGGCACCTCCTGCCTCGGCACAGGGCAGGCACCACATGGCACTGAGCCAGACCCTCTACAATGCCAGGAGGGAGCGGCATCAGCATCAGCCATGCCAGGCACCCCATCCCAGGGCTGTGTTCCTTTGTCAGGGGGGTGGCCTGGGGGCAATGGAGTGGACTTTGGGGATGTGGCTGGGATACAGGGGCATGAGAAGGAGTGCAGGGCTGAGATCCCAGATTTTAGGGGCCAGATCTTCCCGTTAATGCCTCTCTGGCCTCCCTGAGTGGCTCTGCCTGAGGCGTTTCAAGGACCATGGACAGGCCTTGGTACAGAGATGGGGCTCAGCTCCAGGGACGCACTCCCGGCTATCCTGTGAACCACAAGGGACCTGAGAAGAGCAGGGATGTCCCTGGGTTGGCTCAGACCTTGCAGCTGGTCTCTGTACTCCCCCAGCAGACACAGGTCTCCAAATTGGCAGGACCAGTCCCCACAAGCATCCCTGTCACTAAAATGACACCATCCATCAGCAGCTGGCACTGAGCTCTGCCACCCCTCCCCAGCCTCAGTCACACCCTTCTGCGTGCAGGGCAGGGTAACATCCCAGTGCCAGCTCCCCAAACTCCCCTGACAGGAGGCTGACGAGTCCCCTGCACCAGGGTCCTCTCCAGCTGCCTGCACACCCCCTCAGAGCAGAGCCGGTAGCCGAGAACCTGTGCTGGGACCAGAAGCCCGTCCAGGGAATATAATAAAATTAAAGCTCATTAAGCACTTAGAGAAGGGTTTGCATTGA